TAGCTGGATGATCGTCATACTCGATTCCTAGTGACAGCAAAGTAGTAGTAGTAGTGTGTATGGTGGGTGTGTAGGTGTGTGTGGATGGATATATGTGTGGATGTGTATAGGTGCGATGGGGGGGATTCATGTTTTTGTCTCTGTATACCATTCTGTGTATGACTGTTATGACACACACACACACACACACACACACACACACACACACACAGAAGCCATGACGACCGCGTAGAGAGTCATGAACCCCCAGGTGGAGATGGTGTAAGTTGCCCCTGTAACCCTCCTCCTCCTCCTCCCTCCCTCCACCCAGTTTTCTCGTCTCTTCCTCCTCTCTACTGCTCCTTCCATAGTCTCTTCTCCCCCAACTTCCTGCTTCTCCCTCTCACCTCCACCTCCTCTCCTTTCAACATCCAATTTCTTCCCCTCCTCCTCCTCTTCTTCTCCCTTCAACATATCACTTCTTCCCTCCTCCTCCAACTCCTCTCTCCCTCCCGGCAACATACTCTTCCCTCCCTCTCTCTCTCCCTTCAACATCTCACTTCTCCTTCCTCCTCCACCTCCTAATCATCGTCCAAGGGGAGGTGGAGGGCCCACTTTCCTTGGACGACATAATTGGGGTTATGTCCACCTTCTCTCCCTCGACCCTCCCTTACCCTTAAATATAAAGGCATCATTTACATATAAACTACTTTTAACGACATATAGAGGCGGAGACTACAATCACAGTGTTCTTAAGGAGGTGGAGTCAGTCTCTCTCTCTCTCTCTCTCTCTCTCTCTCTCTCTCTCTCTCTCTCTCTCTCTCTCTCTCTCTCTCTCTCTCTCTCTCTCTCTCTCTCAGGTCATGAAACGCTGGTAGGTAATGACTTGAGTGGTGGACTTTGGGGTGTGTCTGGATTATCTTCGGAGAGAGTGGAGTGGAGGGAGGATAGGGGAGGGGAGGAAGTGAGAGGAAGGATGGAGAAGGGGTGGGATGAAGAGGATGGAAAGGGAGAAGGGTGAGAAGGAGTGGAGGGAGGAGGGGGAAGGGGCGTGGAGAGGAAGGGAAGGGATGAGAGGAAAGGAGGGAGGGAGAAGAGTAAGGAGGGGATGGAGAAGGGTAGGGATGAAAGAGAGGGGTGGATGGAAGGGTGAGAAAGGGAGAAGGGTGAGGAAGGATGGAGTGGAGGGGGATGAGACACACCACGTATCTCTGGACACATGATACACAGCCACTTAACAACAATATTTTCCTGGTAACATAGACAAGAAACAGAACCAACATGAGTAGTATGTTCCCTGGATAAATGGGATGGCCCGGGATTTCTTAGATGTACATAATACCTTTTGAAACATCGTGTAAGTGTGCCGCAACACATACCTTCAGTCTGTTTGTGTTGCTTATCGTGACTTTGGGGAATAGGAAGTGTATTGACGCGATGAATAGATGAATTACACCATGATGAATTGTTTTGGGATGTGTGTCTAGTTGTTGAATACGACAGCGGTGGAGGAGTGGTTACAATGCTTAGCCTACCATGTCCTGAAGTAACACTGTTCCTAATAGTACTTCAAGTGTACGGGACTGAAAGCATTAATATGTGTAAGGGAGTTAAACCAAAAAGAACTACTCGGAAATTCTTCACAGAGTTTATTATCAGCTGTCCCGCGTCTTGGTTTGTTTATATTTAACCCACAAACAGAAATCCTTTTAACCATTTACTCGGCACAGCTTGTCAGGATGCAGTGACACGCTATCCATTTATAGATAAAATCTCAGCCTGACTTGTGTATCGGACACTGCAGAGAGAAAAAGGGACCCAGACTTGCATGGGAAAACGTGAACCAAGTGATTCTTCCCCCCGTGTAGAAGTCCTGTAGTATATCGCTGGGGGCTTTATTTAAACGAGGCGTCTGTTAGGTTACGATAAGCCCCGCTAGAGAACGTGAATGCATGAAAACAAAAATACCTCCCTTCCCCTCCCCTTCCCTTTTCCCCCCTCCCCTCCCCTTCCCTTTCCCCACCTCCCCTTCCCCCTCCCCTCCCCTCCCCTCGCCAGCCCGTCATTCTGGGTGACTTCTAAACACGACTTGTGGTCAAACGTAAGCCAGAGTGTTGTCCATGGCGAGGGTAAACACAAACTGAGTTGGATGTTAACAAAACAAATAGTGTGATGCTGATTAAGTTGTGTTACAAGTATGACTGTTTGAGGAGGACGTTTTAACTTCAAAGAGAGTGTGTGTGTGTGTGTGTGTGTGTGTGTGTGTGTGTGTGTGTGTGTGTGTGTGTGTGTGTGGCCACTGCATAGTTAAATCTGAAGAGCTTAGTCCGGAGAGTTTACATTCTCTACATTTATCACTTAAATATATCTTCCTTCATAATTTTTTCCCCGAGGAGGAGGACCAGCTTGAGTGAGAGGTCGTATACTGCTGAGTGTAATAGATGAGAGGTATTGAGTGATATTGAGTGATATTGAGAGGTATTGAGAGGTTATTGAGAGGTTATTGTACCCTAAAGCTCTCCTATCAGAGGTCAAGGTCATACTTAGTTCAAGATAGACCTCCACGGTTTATCATACTTTGAGATGTATGAATGTTAGTCAAGTGTTCCCAATAATCTAAAAGGAATTGTATGGTTATGAAACTCACATTCATCCACTGACGTTCATAAGAGTCTACATTCTAGTACATTGTCTACACCCCTCCACCTACACTCTCTTTCCTTCACTTCCCTCCACTTACACCCCTTCACCTATACTCCTCCACACCCCTCCACCTTACATTCCCCCTCTTCCATACCCCTCCACCTTACACTCCCCTCCACCCACACTCCTCCACACCCCTCCACCTTACACTACCCCTCCTTCACTCCCATCCACCCTACACTCCTCCACTCCCCTCCACCCACACTCCTCCACCTTACACTACCCTCATCCTCCCTCCACCCCTACACTCCTCCACACCCCTCCACCTTACACTACCCCTCCTTCACTCCCCCCACCTACACTCCTCCACCCCTCCTCCACCTTACCCTCCACTCCCCCCACCACTCTCCTCCACACCCCCTCCACCTACCTACTCATTCTCCCTCACCTTCACCCCTCCACCTTACACTACCCCTCCTTCTCCCTCCACCCTACTCCTCCACACCCTCCACCCTCCACCTTACACTACCCCTCCTTCACTCCCATCCACCCTACACTCCTCCACTCCCCTCCACCCACACTCCTCCACACCCAGCATACAAATTTATTCCTGCTGCCTAGTCCCTACCTCCGGATCTTTCCCATAAGTCACTCTTAATGTTGTTTTTGTCCCTCAACGCCTTCAGGTATTCGTGTCATCTACTCTACCCCTTCGTCAGTCCTGGAGATGTTCACACTAAGACGCGTATATATGGTAATAGATCTATCGCGACGTTTTGATAGATAAATTTGGTGACTCATTTCTGGTGTGTGTGTGTGTGTGTGTGTGTGTGTGTGTGTGTGTGTGTGTGTGTGTGTGTGTGTTCTACAGGTACAGTTAATTATTACGACAACCAGGTACAGTTAATTATTGCTTCTACAGGTACAGTTAATTATTGCGACTACAGGTGCAGTAAATGACTAACTTACTCACAACCTAACTTAGCAGAGATATATTAAGGGAAGTAAAGGGAGGTCAGAGTTCATCCATGTATTAGCATAACGGGTAATGAATAGGTGTAATAAAGGTTTAATTTGTGATAGAGTGCACAGTGAGAGAGACAGGAATTATACACTGTGGGTGGCTGTATATATGAAACAGATTCCACAGCTGTTATAGTCACACACACACACACACAGACACACACACACACACACACACACACACACAGACAGACACACACACACACACACTCATACACACACACACACAGACACACACACAGACACACACACACACATACACACACACACAGAGACACACACACACACACACACACACACACACACACACACATACTCATACACACACACACACAGACACACACACACACACACACACACACACACACATTCATTATTCATTTAAGTAATCGTTGTACTATGGAGTTAATCACTTAACCCTTTGAATCCTGAAGGGTTAAATCATCATCTTCAAAGGGTTAAAATATCGTCGTTAAAGGGTTAAATCATCATCTTCAAAGGGTTAAATATCGTCGTTAAAGGGTTAAATTATCGTCGTCAAGGGTTAAATCATCGTCGTCAAGGGTTAAATCATCATCGTCAAAAGTTAAATCATCATCGTCAAGGGTTAAATCATCGTCGTCAAGGGTTAAATCATCATCGTCGTCGGGTTAAATCATCATCGTCATCGCAGGGTTAAATCATCATCGTCGGGGTTAAATCATCATCGTCAAGGGTTAAATCATCGTCGTCAAGGGTTAAATCATCGTCGTCAAGGGTTAAATCATCATCGTCAAGGGTTAAATCATCGTCGTCAAGGGTTAAATCATCATCGTCAAGGGTTAAATCATCATCGTCGTCGGGTTAAAATATCGTCGTTAAGTAATCGTTGTTATTTTGTGTTTATTTAGATAGAACATACAGGAATTACTTACCCTTAACCTGATGACATTTAGTTAAGCAGTTATTATACGGTGAGGTGTCTGGTGCAACTGGTTAATGGCGAAGGTGTCAGTGAAGTTATGGGGGTGATCTTAGATAACCATGAGGGTATCAGTGAAGTTATGGGGGTGATCTTAGATAACCATGAGGGTATCAGTGAAGTTATGGGGGTGATCTTAGTTAACCATGAGGGTATCAGTGAAGTTATGAGGGTGATCTTAGATAACCATGAGGGTATCAGTGAAGTTATGAGGGTGATCTTAGTTAATCATGAGGGTATCAGTGAAGTTATGGGGGTGATCTTAGATAACCATGAGGGTATCAGTGAAGTTATGGGGGGTGATCTTAGTCTCTTAGTTAACCATGAGAATAATATTGAAGATATGGGAGGGATTACCGTACGATAACAAAGATAACAAGAGACTGTAACTTACCGAAGTAGTACATGAGGCAGTACAAAAATCCTTCCTCTTCCCCCTCATCACTCTCTCGTCGCTGCCTGACGTACGGTCGCCGGTATCCTCGCCCACTCATCTCGATTCTTCAGACCTCACACCTCTTAGGACCACTTTATCAATTTCTTAAAACAAATAAAAACCTTCGGGTGTTTTATAATCAACTCTTAATAAAAAATACCGCTTCACTTTTCCCACTTTTTTTTTTCTAGCTGATGATTAGAGAACGCAGGTAAATAAATCACACACACTAATACACATAATTCCTGGGTGATAATACTACACTGTCCTCCCGCATACTACACTGTCCTCCCGCATACTACACTGTCTTCCCGCATGTATCTTTTCTCAGCGCCCACTTTTTTACCTTCACTTTACATCAGTGTTTTTAAATATCCCTGTATCAACATAACTCTTCACGCACTATTTTTTTTTTGGGGGGGGGGTGGGGAGGGTTTAATTTGCTTCACTGCATTGTTTCACCTCTTGTGTTATCTACTTAAAGGTTTTAGTTTATGGAGGGATGTTAGGTTTATTGTGTTAGTAATTGGTGATAGGTACAGTTTGTTCTGGGTTCTGCGCTAGCTGAGTGGAGCCATCTGGTGGTGTCTGGTGGTGATGGTATGAGAGCTCGCGGACCACATTACCTTCTGTGGTTGTGGCTGCTGTTGAACCACCTGACACTGTAAATAACTATCGTGCCCATCATAATAATCTCTCCTCACGCCACAAAATCATTAATCTTTCAGCGGATCAACACAGCCGTTCCCTATCACCGAGACAGCAGCGTATACCTCACCTCTCAGCGCTCTCACTAAGAAGGGGCAAAGTCCCGATCAAGTTCTCATTTCACAACTTCTTTAGGGGAAAATCCTCCTGGGTACGTCTCACATGTGTGTTTAGAGTCGTGATGCCACCTGACGGAGGAGTCGAAAACTTGTTCCCTGTCTGCTGTCGTTAAGCTTTCATCCTCATCGTTTCCTGATTGGGGGGGGGGGGTGGTGGATGGCTGAACGATAAGGGAGTCACGGGGAAAGGTGAAGGATTGACGGTAGGATGTTGTAGGAGGAGGCGCTGGAGGAGTGTGTGTCAGCTTCTGCCTCGTGTTCTCCAAATCCCTTCCTCTCCCGGTTTCGGTCGGCCAACCAAAAGCTGCAATACAGAAATAATAAAATATAGTTGTAGTCAAAGAATCGTAAAAGTGATACAAATGAATAATAAATCCGAGTTTAATAGTAGAATTTAACACCGCTCAGGATGGTTTTGTGTGTGTGTTTGTGCGTGTGCGTGTGCGTGTGTGTGTGCGTGTGCGTGTGCCTGTGATCTTGCCGGCGGTGTTTACGTTTCGTCTCGGTGAAGAATGTTTTATGAAGTGTAGGGAATTGTTTTAAGTTCTTCCTGTTGTATGTATTAATTATAATGAGTGGTCGGAATGCGGTTCACACACACACACACACACACACACACACACACGCACTCTCTCTCTCTCTCTCTCTCTCTCTCTCTCTCTCTCTCTCTCTCTCTCTCTCTCGGTGAGGTTATCACAAGACACTGGCAGCAGTTCACCTCAGTAATATAACCAGCAGCAGCCGTCAGCTCCCAGCGTGGCGTCCCTCACAACTGGCCACTCTCACCCTCGTGCATTCTGATGAACGACGACCACCACCAACACTGGGGGAGACGGAGGCTGGGGTGACGGAGGCTGGGGGAGAGGGAGGCTGGAGAGACGGAGGCTGGGGGAGAGGGAGGCTGGAGAGACGGAGGCAACCTAACCCTACCCTACCCTACCCTACCCTACCCTACCCTACCTTCCCTACCCTACCCTACCCTACCCTAATCTAACCTAGTCTACCTCAGCCTAGCCCAACCCATTCCAACCTATCCTACCCTAACCATAAATTATTCTACACAGTTTTAAAGTCCAAATAGTTAGTTGTTACCCTCCCACCTTGATGTCTTCTCTAGGTCCCCAATACACCAGGTATACCGATCGCCTTGGATATATCCTTCTTTCGCCTCAATACTTGCAAAAGCTGACTCAAGGACTGTAGCTGAAGGAGACTAACGCACTTGACGGAGGGAGGGGGAGGGGGCGTCATATTCCTGAAGGAGGGGAGGAGGGGCACCACATTATTGAGGGAGTAGGGGCGTTACATTATTCAGGGAGAGGGGCGTTACATACTTGAGAGAGGGGCGTCACATTATTCAGGGAGAGGGGCGTTACATACCTGAGAGAGGGGCGTCACATTATTCAGGGAGAGGGGCGTTACATACCTGAGAGAGGGGCGTCACATTATTCAGGGAGAGGGGCGTTACATTATTCAGGGAGAGGGGCGTTACATACTTGAGAGAGGGGCGTCGCACACTTCAAGGGGTGATTAAATTAAAAATATAAAATTATTATCAAATGAATAACTTTTCTCCAGATCGATTACGGTAATTAGATAGAGTCATATGTGTATTATGTAGTGTGTGAATGTGTGTTTGTCTGTTTTATTAATATTTTTTATAATGAATATATATAATAAAAGCCACATTTTGGAATTAATGGAAGAGGTGAAATAGTTCTCAAAACATGGCATCTTGTTATATTAGTGTCTAGGTAATTATTTTGCTTATATACGAGGCTCTTGGAGTGCGAATAACGAACTTAGCATTCCTCTGTATTTTCGTGTGTTTGTCGTGTTCGTGTTCTGAGCGTCCCATTATCTGGATGACAAGTAAAACGTGAGAAGAGTTTTGTGTCATTTTTTGTTGTTTGGTTAATATCTTTACATTATTGGTCGATATAAGACAAATAGCTTTAAACAACAAAATATTATTAATTTATACAGAAAAAATGAAGGAAGGTTTTATCACTGTAGAAGTAACTAATAATTTTAAAAGTAAAAATAAAAGGAAAAATTGTCACTTCTTAAATAAAAATTACAGAAATTTTACAGTAAAAAATGCACAAAATCGTCACCTACAAGAAATTTATTAATATTTTTTAGAGTCAACGATAAGGAAAAAATTACTCAAATAAAAGTAATTAATAATTTTAAAGTAAAAACAGCTTAAAAAAAGCCACTTTAAAAAAATGCTAATACAGGTATTTCTTAAATTAAAAATTGTTAATAATATTTAAATGCAAAAACAAAACAAAAAGATGATAAGTTTTAACCAAAATATATCAATAATTTGTAGAATAAAAAAGTATGGAAAATTAAAACTTTCAACGACAAAAAATATTAATTTTAAAAACAATAAAAAGGACAAAAATTTCATTTTATAAAAAGTATTATAATTTTTAAAGTCGAAAAAAATGAAAAAATCGTCACTTTTTACAACAAACATCTTCTTAAACTTTGAACATTTCACTCTCCACTACTTTCTTTACTGCTTAAACTTTTCATATTTTTGCAACTCGAATTTTTGTGGCGGGAACATTGTCTGGGGGACCTTGTGGACTATTGTATTCAGACCCGTGAATTTATCTTCTTTCTCTCATTTTTGTTTAATTTTATTATTTTTCTTTTTATCGTGTTTTTATGGTTCTTTGTTTTTTCTTTTAATTTTCATGTCATCTTTCTTTCTTTTTTAATTTTTATTTATATTATTTTTCCTTAATTCCCTTCCTATTTTTTTCTGTTTTCTCTTCTCTCGTGTTCTTTTTTCTTCTCTTTCTCTTTATAACATTCATCCTCGTTAAGAATATGAATATGGGTCCATAGGCACTGTACTCTACAGCCTCCACTCCTCAAACTGTAATGTTAGTTAACTCTTCTACACTTGGGTCGACGTGGGGCTCCTCAATCTTTGCCCCTCCCTCCCCCCACGAGCCTAAATGTAAAGTAGTGACAATAATGACGTAAAAAGTACATTAACATTGGAAAGAAAACGTGAGATAGCCACAGAAAACGTACATTAGCTACAGACAACACGTATCGTCGGGAGAAAACATAGCTGGCACAGAAAGAAGGTAAATAAACAGTGGAGCCTCGCATTACTGTAGGGCAGGGAGAATCCTCGACCACCAATGCCTTATTAACCATTGATAAAAATCGTGGTGGCCGACGACCCACCTAACCTCACCTCCCCTGAGAGAGAAAATGAACGGTATTGACGAGAGAATTAGACGTAGCTTGAGAATTGGAACAAGTGACAGCTTTCTTTATTATATGTGACACCTGTCTGTACTCTTAGGTGAATTAGTAATGAAACCAGTGGGTATATGTTGTTTAAAATGGCAGTTATTTCTAGTTTAAGTGGCGCTTGTCTGTACTTTTAAGGGAATTATTAATATTTGTTCACCATTACCTATATTTTTGTTATATATTTTAATTAAGTATAAGTAAAATTCAGTGACCCCAAGTTTTAAGAGATTATTCGTACATACTTTTTAGATGCTGAATAACTTCTAACACTAAGTATGAACGCACTTAAGAGGGAATTTACTCCCCATTACCCAAGAGAATAAAACTAACTTATTAAACGAGAAAAATTAGTGTGAGATTCCCTGATAAGGTTGAGTAGCCAAGACGTCCATTAAAGTGGTGTTTCTGCGTACTCTTAAGGCAGGTGAATCATTAATGAGGTATGTGAGTATTTAATTAATGCCCTCGCTTGTCACCTGCGTTATGAGGCCTCTGTGAGACCTCTTGAATGTTCCTACTAATACTATTTTACTATTACTACTGCAACTACTACTACTATTTTACTACTACCGCTACTAGTACTATTTTACTACTACTACTACTATGACAGAAGGAGCAACAGCGATATCATTAGACAGCAACATTAACAGAATTAGTTGTACTTATAATGTTACTGTTATGGCTTTTTTATACCTACTATGAACTATAACAATGCCTATAAACAAACCCTTGAATGTAGTCAAGTTTTATATAGTGATATAAACTACGAAATTGATAAAAATATCCTACGAATTCCTGATGCAATGTAGTGTCATTTGTGTTGTGAAATATATCATAAAAGAATATATATCCCATCCAAGAAATATATATATTCCCGAATTGACGGCCGTATACTGGAGGATTCATAGACAGAAACGCAGGAGAAAGTGACATAAAATCCATGTTGTTTTGATAAAAGTTTTATCTGATCCCGTATATATATTGAGAGAGAGAGGAGCGGGAGGGAGGGAGGGAAGGATCAATATTCCTGACGATGTTGTTTCCATTACTAGCAAGGAACACATTGGTGGCAGCCGGTGGGATCCATGAGGACACTCCCACGAATTTTGGGAGTTTCTGGCCATATGGTGGTGGCTGTAGTGCTCCCAAAAATTGGATAGCAAGGAACACATTGGTGGCAGCCGGTGGGATCCATGAGGACACTCCCACGAATTTTGGGAGTTTCTGGCCATATGGTGGTGGCTGTAGTGCTCCCAAAAATTGGATATGTGCTCCTCTCTCAGAACCCGATGTTGTAGAACTGTCTGATGGCTGGGTGAGGGGGGGAGGGGGGGGGGGAGGAGAGAAAGGGAATGGGGCCGGCTGGGTTAGGGAGAGGGAGGGATAAGAGCTGAGTAGGGTGGGGAGAGGAAGGGAGTGGGCCGGCTGGGGTGGAGAGGCCGGCTAGGGTGGGGAGAGGAAGCGAGTAGGACCAGCTGGGCTTGGGAAGAGGGAGGGAGTGGGGCCGGCTGGGAAGAGGAGAGAGTGGTAGTTAAGCTGGCTAGAGAGAGAGAGAGAGAGGGGTAGTAAAGCCGGCAAGTGAGAGGAGAGGGAGATAGTGAGGCTGGCTAATTAGGTAGGCTTATCTAGTTAAATGAGGCCTGGGGAGGGTATATAGTTGTTGTTATTGTAGAGAGAAAATAACATGTGCGAGTTCTCTTCTCGTCTTAAAATTCCTCCCTTTTTCTTACATTTATTATTTCACATATCATCGTATTACTCTAGCTCCACCAATCGGGTTAATATAACACTTTACCTTCAACAACAAAAGCAAAATAGTGTTGTTCCCAGTCTCAGTAAAAGGGGAAAAAGATGAAGTGCACTTTTATCAGGGTGACTTTTACACTTAGGTTGGGACATAGTAATTCGATTATATTAGAGGTATGCAATATGCTACCTTAAAAAGATTGGATCGGTGGGTGGGGGGCGTGGTGGCTTGACAGTGATTACCTCTTTTCAGAAGCTGCAGTGCGTCCT